CCAAAGAGAGCCACAATAGGTTGTGTTTTCTTTTTCAGATTTTTGTATGTTTTAAAAGCAGGAGTTGAAATGAAAAGTAATCAAAACTCTGGTCAAAGTTAATTGTGTTCCTTTTAAGTCAGAGTCTCTGAGCTCCTAATAGCTTTGAATCCAAAGTCCGTGTTAATGCAAATTACCTAACTGATAAAGGTAAAAGCCGTTAAAACCTGGCCTGCCTATAGAACAAACACAGGAAAGTGTGTGTGTGGGTGGGGGGGGGGGAGGCAGTTCCTCTGTTTCACCTGCAATCATCAAGGATATTTGTTTTATATATATATATTAAGCAATGATCTGCCACCCCCAAAGGGGTAAAAACATGTTATTTTTGTCTTTCAGAAAATCAGGAAAAGCTGATACCAGCTGAATAGCAACCCAGAATACCATAAATCTACAGTCACAATAGAAATTGTATTTTGAGGTCTATGTTTTGTCTTGTGTTGTTTGTCTTGTTGCTAGCACTGTTGTGTATTAAATATTGCAGGAAAACATCCTCAGGTAAACAGACACCATATTAGGAGAAATTGGTATTGGAGCAGGAATTAGAAATACAGTAGACCTGGAGGTAATTAAAAATCAATTAAGCTCTCTATCCCAGCTACAGGACAGCTTAATACGAAAACAAATAAAAATAAAAAACCATACTGCTACAGCTATGGAATGTACTAAAATCCAGATACTTGCTTTGTTCACCTTGAAACATAAAATGTTTTGAGTCATATCAGAAAACACTAAGGTTTAGATACACTTGCTAAAGCAAAGAAAAAGATCACTATTTAATACTTATCAATAAGAATGAATGTAGTATGTTTCTAGCAGAGTAAGGCCAGGCCTTTTAATTGGGAAAATTGTTGTTCAAAATGCACACCAACAAACTCTGGAAGCAAAAATATGGAAAGTTAGCCCACTCCTCATATGGCACATAGAATCCTTCTGGCTACCCCAGACCTCGAGCCAGTGGGCTGGGGAGGGAGGGAAGCTATTGGACACCAGGGGTTGTACCGAGTGGACTCCTCAAAAGTGGGTGTGCTTGTCCTTGCCTGTTGCTCTGAGCCCTGTAGTAAAGACATTTCACTAAGATCCTGTATGTGGGATTAATTGGATAATAAAACCAAAGTACTGTATAATGGGCAATGTGTACATGTTAATTCCTGGGAAGAGGTGTTTTGGGAGGATGGAAGTGTTAGCAACCCGATAGTAGACAAATGTAAATGTAATGTAAGTACTGTGTTTACCAATAATCACATTTACTATTTGCCACATCCAAAAAAGTCTCAGCTTTGCCCAGTTGAGGGAGGAGCTATGTGAAACTTGCAAAGCCATAAAGGCCGCTTTAGATAAGGAAAAGACCAAGTGTAAGGGAATCATTGTTAAGGACATCTGGGGATGGCAAATTAAAGACATGGTAATGTTGCAAAAGCTGGGGAAAGCGGCCCACACTCTGGACTCCAGCTGGGTGGATCCATACTCCATTGTAAATCACATCTCGCTGATAGTGTACCAGCTTCAGCTACCAGGCAAATTAAAATACGCGCATGCCAATCAGCTCAAAACATATGCTTCTCCCTAGGTTTCTGGTCATGGTGTTGTGGGCCTCGGTTGTGGACCAGCCACCTGCCTGGACCATCCGGGTTTCCAGCTGTCCATAAAATTATCTGAATAATCATATTTATGAGGAAAAAAATACCTCCAAAGGCTCTCCCTAGCTCGAGTTGCCAAAGGGGCCCGAGCCATAGTGTGGCGGAAAGCTGAAGGGGAGGTGCCTTGAAGACAGTGCATAGTCCGGATAGACACAGCAGGGCCACAGCAAAATACCTGGTGGGTGGCCCTGAACCTCCCCTGGTCCCATGGGGACAAACCCTGTTCCTCCTGTGGTGGCCTGGAGTGGAATGGGAAGCCCTTTGGCAAGTAATAGCAGCCCCTAATCCCTGGACAGAATATTGTTGTTGTGACTTCCTAAATCAGGCAAACGACATCCATGATGGAAGCCAGGATGGGCTGTAATGGGAAGACTAATAATTTAGGGAGTTTTTTGTCCATGCCTCAGTTTCCCCAATAGGTGCATTCATTTTGTTCTCTCTCTTTCCCTTTTGCTTTGTTAACAGAATAGGCAGTAATAGTGAAAGCCTAGGGGCACCCCGAATAGGAGTGGTGGGACTACTCTTGCTGCTTTAAGCCTGCAAAATTCATCAGGGTAAAACAATGTATGTATGGTGGCACATATCTATGGAAATCCTCAGGTTTCCAACATTTGTGGCCTCCTTTGTTAATTTGACCACGGTTCAGAGTTGGCCATGGTGGAAAAAAAGGTCAATCATCCTTTGGCAGGGGGAGCAGTTGTGGCATATCATCAGAGGAATGTGGCACCATGTATTACCTAGAGTATTTTCCCAGGGGCCACCCCCTGATGAGAGCCCCAGGTCCCCTGGCCCAGCATATCTCTCCCCAGTTGGATCCCAGAGAGGATTAACCCATAAGGGCTCCATACACAACCAGGCAACACCACAGGGAACAACACTATGTTCCATTGCCACCTGAACCCCCTTCCCAAAGAGTTTGTGTCCACTTGGGAACAATGGTCCCTAACTTTGTAGGAGGAAGACCTCCAGCCATATTGCCAACGCTTACAGTTCCACTGGGAAGGGGAAATCTTGGAAAGATGGCTCAAATGGACTACCGATGGGAGGATACACGGGGAGGTTTTCAATATCACAGAAGGGTTCATATGCCATTCAAGTCAACGCTCCACATTGACATCTGGTAGTGGGATGTGGTTGAAGTCTTTGTCCCTGGCTGGTGTAGGGTTCAACCTAACCCCCACAACTCCAAATGTTAATATATCACATATATCACCTCCTCATTCACACACACATCCCGCCATTGTGGGGAGGTAAATATTACATGCCCCGAACAATTTCCAGCATCCCTGTTAAATTGTAGCCTCCTCTGCCTAGCTCCAAGTCTTCAGGGAATGACCCTAGGAAAGCACCTCCACATCTCCCCCAACCAGTGGTGGTGGCAGAGGGAAGCAGCCACTCAATGCTGGATCCTCCTTAATGCCACCCTGGGAGCTTTAAATATTTACCTGCCCCGACATACCTTCTGTTCCCCGCCTTCCTTCCCAATTGTACAAGGGGGGCCACCCTCCAACTTGCCCTCCTCAGGCAAATGTTGTCTTTGTCCGCTTGGAGGAGGCGGACCTTAGTGAGCTCCCTGTGGGATGGAGCCAATTCGGCAGCCAGTATTTGGAATATTCGGCAAGGGGCCATAAGAGAACGGTTGGGACAATTGGAAAAGGCCATGGGGCTAGTCACAAGTGCAAATCTTACCCACCTTACAGTGGCCACCTCCGCCCTCAAACACACTGCTAAATTGGCCCTCCACACAAGGGATACCTTGCAGGGACTGCTTGAGACCATAATTGAGGCTGGGGACCAACCAGCATGGGATTAGGTGTTCTCCCAACTCCAACTCCAACAATATTTAACCCAACAAGTCCATAGCATCCAGAAGGATGTGCTCCACGGAGTCTGGCTGGGGGAAATCCATTCCCACTCAGGGATTCCCCGGGAGCAATTGCCTTTTTTGCTATTTCTGGAGGCTCACTAACTGGAAGTGCTCAGGCATAGCCTGCTCATTTACGGCCTTTGGTCTCATAAAGCGAGTGTGGTCCCCTGCTATAAAAATCCAACCAGGCCTTTGGGAAGGCTACTTCTGGGACTGAGTGGTCCATCGCAACATGTGGGAGGTGGCTCCCCCCAATGACACGGCTAAGTGGTATGTGCTGACTGCATACTCCGACTATTAGTACATATGGGTTGCAAAGGGCAACACCTGGCAACTATGGCCTATAAAGCCCCCTCAAATAACGTGTAAAAAAAAGGTGATGCCAGGCCGCTTTTATAAGGTGTTACCAATGAAGCCAGAAGCCACTACCGGCTGGTGTGTGCAATTGTTGTTGCCCTGGCCATTTTGTTTGTGCTATATTGCTGTTTATGTAGAAGATCAACAGTAACCCTAGCCACTGTGTCAGAGGGAGGGTGAAAATCTAAGTGGTGACCCCTCACAACAAAATGTTGATTCGGGGTCAAGGCAGGGAATGTCAAAACCCAACGGCTCCCTCCCTCAGGGGGTCCCCTGGGGAAGCAAATCAGAATTGTATGTTGCTAACGCTGTTGTAGGCATTGCAAAGTATTCTGGGAAAGATTAAAGGTGTGAGTGAGGGTGAAAGGTTTCTTTGCAGGTTGCAAGAGGCCAAAGAGAAAGGAAAGAAGAAAGGAATGGGTTAACTTGACAATTCAGCTAGGCTACAAGATAAAAGGCAAAACTGCCACTAGCTCAAGCTGGAGCAACCCAGGGACCTTGATGGTTAGTGGATCCTTATGCTGGACCAGACTCCAGTCGACTGGACGTGAGGGGTATGCAAGGTAGCTCCCTTCCGAGGTTCCACACAAAGCCTATGCTGGGTGGGCATCTACTTTTCTCTTCTTTTTCTGTAGGAAATCAGACCCAGTAACAACTGATCTGTAAACAATATTTGACTCCAAAGGGCAGAAAGAAGGAAATCTGATGAGAGGAGCCTGGAGGATTCTGTGTGCGATTGATCGGAGCTCAGTACACTTTACATGGTACGAAGGGTGGTTGGGGCTGCTCCCCTTTTGCACTTCTGGGATTGAAGTGTAAAGAAGTGTGATTGACCCGAATGGATTCTGCCTTCCAGAACATTATGGTAGCTTCCGCCACAAGTGCCTTGATCCTACAAGTGGAAATATGCAGAGGCCACTCAAAGAAGAATGACTGTCAAAGCCACATTGTTGGTATTTAGTCATCCAAATCCATTTATCATTATAGGAATGTGTGATCCCAGCAACAGAAACAATTTTAAAATGCTATTTCCACTCAATTCCCAAATATATTCATAATATATTATACCAATCAATGGTGTTTAAGGTGCAAATTCTTACCACAGTACTCATTTCTATAATTGATGGACAGGTCAATGGCAGAGATGATGAAATTCGGGCCAACTAGTATCAGAATTAGTATCTGGATCGAATCTGTGATGGAAGAATGATCCAAGAAGTATTGTTAATTAAAATTATTCTTCTGTATTGTTAGAAATGTATTTCCATTTCAAATACAAAAACATTGCTCAAACAGCTCACATTACATTTTTTCCTGTGATTTTGTTTAATGCAAGATAGAAAAAGGACATGGAGAATCTCTTGTTCTTTTTTTTTTGAGAAATATGAAATAATTCACAGTGAACATTTTAGGGTTAGTCCCTGATTCATTCCAGACCAGAAGCTATAACACCACTATATGGAGTACCACAAATATTTTTTTTTAAATAAATAAATCTGTCTAAGGTCTCAATCCTGAAAACACTTAGGTATGTACTTAATTTCAATTGATTCCAAAGGGAATATTCATGGTAATAAAGTTAAACATCTGCTCGTAGGACTAGGAGCTTCAGAATGACAGCTGATATATTCATAGTAGCCTAAAGGTATATGTTGACCCCAGGGCCAGCTCTAGGCACCTGCAAACCAAGCACATGCTTGGGGTGGCACATTTTCAAGGGCGGCATTCTGGCCGTCTTTTTTTTTTTTTTTTTCTTTTCTGCTTTGGGCGGCAAAAGCCTAGAGCCAGCCCTGGCAGAGGCAGCGCGTCGTGCATGGGGGGCGCACTGGGGCCGCTGTGTTCACATCGCGGGGGAGCAGTGCCCGCACCTTGTGGCTGGGCCGGGCAGGCTCCTAGCGCGGGACACTCAGGCTGGGGGCTGCCCCTCAGGGCACACGGAGCCACCTGCAGATGCCACAGGGCAGCCACCCCCCAGCGCCGCAGCCAGGGCTGGGCAAAGCAGCCCGAGCCACCCAGGGACTGTGGCAGGGTGGCCAGGACTAGCAGCGGGGCCATAGAGGGTGGGGCGCTGCCGTGCAGGGCCTGCGTCCCGCTCTTCGGGGCTCCGCTTCCTCTGGGGCTATCCTGCCATGGCTCCTCAGCCCCCGCCCGGGGCAGTCCTCCGGCTCTGCCCTCCTGGGTTCCATCTGATCCTGAAGGCGGGAGCCCTGGCTGAAGGGACTATGGGCTGAGGCGCGGCCTGGAAGCCCTGCTGCTTACCCTGACCCTACCAGCGCCGGACCAGCTGGAGGCGAGGGAGGAGTGGGTGGAGTCAGCACTGGTGGGAGGAGCCCAGGGCTAGGGCAGCAGGAGGTGTGGGTGGGGTGGGGGAGAGAGCCCAGAGGTGGGTGGCCAAAATTTTTTTTGCTTGGGGCGCCAAAAAACCTAGAGCCGGCCCTGGTTAACCAGCTTAAAAATTGTTCCATAAAACATGCTAGTTAACATACTAACTAACATGTTTTTTCCACTACAGGACTTAGGCACCTCTCTGTAGACTTAGGCACCTAAGTCCTGCTATCAGGGGACACTGCGATCCACTGAGTTCCTGTTTGGCTGCTGCCTAAATTCACCAAATACCCATATTATTTCTGTAAAATTTCCCAAATGTTTATGTTTCTGCCTGACTCTGGCTGTGTGCATGGGTGCCTCACTTGACATTCGCAGATGCCTTCCACCTTCTTAAACCCCAGAGCGAGACATGGACAAGGCTAATCCAAAGAAAGAAAGAAAGAAATTGTGGCAGTAACATGCCATTTGCTGCCATCACAAGTTTGCTTGTAATGGCCCTTCCCCCACCATGTGTCTGTTTTGACTTGTCAGTTTCTTTGGGCAGGGACCATCTGCTGCTCTGTGTTTGTGCAATGCTGAACACAGTGAGGCCCCATTCTTGGCTGGCCATTAGGCATGACCACAATAAACATGAGTAATATGAAATAATAATAAAACATAAAGACATCACTGGCCTCCCTGGTGTTTGCTAAAGGGTTTGCTGGGGTCTCAGAGGATGCATTTAATCATCTTTTAAAGACTTTTACTAAGATTTCCTTTCTTCCAAAGTTTACCTAGTCATTGAATTTAAGCACGTGTTAAAGAACAAACAAACTAAAAAATGTAAACATTCAAAATAAAAATACCCTTTCCCTTTCAACGACTCAGTGTTTGCTTTCTTAACTTTTGTGAAGTAGTTATTTCACCAGTTCTCCACGCAACACAGAGTGTCCTGCCTTGGCTGTAACATATTTGAATGTAAAAGTATAAGCCGAAGAATGGAAAAGAAGAACAAAAGCCATTTCAAACCTACTTTCTCCATTATGAAAAAGCTTAAAAAGGAAACAAGCCTAGTTTTGTTCCTTTGCAGGTCACCTTTAACAGGCAGCCATTTTTATGATACTGGAACTACAAAGAATCACATATGTGACTTTGGAACAGACAGAGAGACAGTTCTGAACAGTCTGAGAACAAGAGAAAAAAAACGTTCTCTCTATCTGTAAGGACACTCTATCCCACTTCCAGGGCCCTCCTGTCCCCCTTGAGAGCATCCCTCTCTCCCCTGTGCAAGGGAAGGGCTCTCAGGCAAGTCTGCGGCAGGAGCAGGCAGAGGAGAATGGGCAGGAGAAAGGACTAGGAGTCTCTGTAATCTGTTGAGGCAGCAGGAGGGTTCCTGGCTAGGTAGTGTTGTTGCTCAGACTCATCTGCATCTCTGCTGGCATTGCGGAAATACCTGAGACTGGGGTCATCTGACCCAGTCCCTGCTTTGTGATAGGTGGCTGCTGCATGCCTGAGGGGTGACTCAAGGCCGGCCCTGCTGAGTGCATACTCAGGGCAACAGCTAAATGACCAGCCCTACTTTGGCTGAGAGTTTGCCTCAGAGCCAAGTCTGCTAGGTCAAGCTGGAGCAACCTAGGGACCTTGCTGGTGTGTAGATCCTTACATGGATTCTGGAATTACAGATGACCAGACTTCAATGGACTGGACCTGAGGGGTGTGCGAGGTAGCCCTCCGACTTCCAAGGGTTCAGACAAAACCCATCCTGGATGGGCATCTGGTTTTCTCTTCTATTTCTATAGGAAATCAGACCAAGTGACAATTGATCTACTGTAAATAACATTTGCGTCTGAAGGGCAGAAAGAAGGAAAGCCGATGAGAGCAGCATGGAGGATTCTGTGTGCGATTGATCAGAGCTCGCTGCACTTCACATGGTAGAAGGAGGTGAAGGGCGGTTAGGACTGCTCCTCTTTTTGCACCACTGGGAGGGGAGGGGAGAGAAGCGTGAGTGACCCCAACAGACACTGCCTTCCCGAACATTACGGTAGCTCCCAGCACAGGTGCCTTGCTCCAACAATTGGGAATATGCAGAGGCCACTCGAAGAAGAATGATTGTCAAAGCTATGTAATTGGTATTTATTAATCCAAATCCATTTGTCATTATAGGAATGTGTTTTTGCAGCAACAGAAACAATTTTAAGATAAAATTTCCAGTCGGTTCCCAAATATATTCAAAATATATTATACCAATCAATAGTTTTTTAAGGTGCAAATTCTACAAAACTCACCTTTATAACTGATGAATGGCTTGATGGTGAAGATGATGTAATTCTGGCCAATTATCAGAATTAGCATCTGGATCGAATCTGTGGTGGAAGAATCAACCAAGCATTATTAGTAACTAAAATTATTGTACTGAATTATAGAAATATGTTTCCATTTCAGATACAAAAAAATTGCTCAAACAGCTCACATTAGATTTTTTTATGTGATTTTGTTTGATTTGAGATAGGAAAAACAACATTAAATGCCACAGTCTCTTATAATGTTTAGGATTTCCAATAATCTGGTGACTGGAGGCTATGAGATTCTGGTCCTAATTCAGCAATGTACTGAAACAAGTGCCTAACTTCAACCACACAAGTAGTATCACTGAACACATGTAGTTGAATATATGCATGTGATTGAATAACTTGCTGAATTGGGGCCTTATGCATGCATCTTTCATACTGCAGTCAATAATTACAGCTTAAGTAAAGTGTTGGGAGTGTGAAGAGAAAGGGCATTTTGAGAGCCTGTCCAATGCCACCACATGACCTAAGAACGATGCGATACTTACCTTGAAAGAAAACACACCAAGACATATTCAATATTCAGTTCAGAGACACTGTCAATCACTTGTGTAGTGGATTCATAAATAAATAAGTAGTTCTTTACTAAAAGATTTTCACCCTTATTACAACATGGAGTGTATTTCTGATAACAGACTGACTGTGGCACACAAACAATCTCTACTCTGACAGTTAGGAAGTGTTCTCATCACTTTTTCTTACTGCACTATTGAACTGTACCTTTTCTTAAGTTCACAATGAAGGGAATTTAGAAACTAAAGTTTTCAAAAAGATTTCAACGTTAGGATCCAGAAAGGAAATCAGTTTATCTATATAGACATATATAGATATATATAAACTGAAGTATGTAGCTTTGTTCTTCACTGCTTTCAAATGAGCAAAAATAGAGATGTAGTTTGATGCCTTCTAATTAAAATGAAATAGGCATCATTTGAAAGCAAAATATTCTCTTTTCCAGCAGTGAAGAACAAAGCTTACATACTTCAGGGCAAGGGCAGGGCTCAGGAAGTCTGCGGTAGGAACAGGAGGAGCAGCAGGCAGAGGGGAATGGGCAGGGGAAAGGACTGGGAGTTGCTATAGTCTGTTGCACTGCAAGGCAGCAGGAGGGTTCCTGGATGAGTAGTGCTGTTGCTCAGACTCATCTGTAGCTCTGCTGGCATTGTGGAAATGCCTGAGATTGGGGCCATCTGACTCCGTCTCCGCTTTGTGATATGTTGCTGCCGCATGCCTGAGGGGTGACTCGCCGCTGGCCCTGCTGAGTGCAGTCTCAGGGCAACAGCTGAGTGAACCGCCCTAGTTTGGCTGAGAGTTTGCCTCACAGTCAGGCCTGTTAGGTCAAGCTGGAGCAACCCAGAGACCTTGCTAGTGAGTGGATCCTTATATGGATGCTGGACTTACAGGTGACTAGACTTCAATTGACTGGATATGAGGGATGTGCAAGGTTGCCCTCCCACTTTCAAGGGTTCAGACAAATCCTATGCTTGGTGGGCCTCTGCTTTTCTCTTCTTTTTCTATAGGAAATCAGACCCAGTAACAACTGATCTACTGGAAATAACATTTGCTTCCAAAGGGCAGAAAGAAAGAAAGCTGATGAGAGAAGTATGGAGGACTCTGTCTGTGACTGATCGGAGCTCACTGAACTTTACATGGTAGGAAGGAGGTGAAGGGTGGTCGGGGCTGCCTCCCTTTTATGCATCTGAGATGTAAGGGGAGAGAAGTGTGAGTGACCCCAACAGATGCTGCCTTCCGGATCATTACAGCAGCTCCCGGCAGATTTCTACAAGTGGGAATATGAAGAGGCCACTTGAAGAACAATGACTGTCAAAGAAATATATTTGGTATTTAGTAATCCAAACCCATTTCTCATTGTAGGAATGTGTGATCTCAGCAATAGAAACCATTTTAAGATAAAATTTCAACTCGGTTCCCAAATATATTGAAAATACATTACATAAATCAATAATTTTTTAAGGTGCAAATTCTTACCACAATGCTCATGTTTATAACTGATGAACAGGTTGATAGTGGAGATGATGAAAGTCAGGCCAACTAGTATCAGAATTAGTATCGGCACTGAATCTATGGTAGAAGAATCATCCAAGAATTATTAGAAACTCCAGCTATTGTACTGAATTGATAAAAATATATTTCTATTTCAGACACAAAAATTGCTCAAGCAGCTCACATTAGTTTTATTTCTGTGATTTTCTTTAATGCAAAATAGGAAAACAATATGAAGAATCTCTTATTCTTTTTTTGGAGAAAAAGGAAATAATTCACATTAAAAACCTTAGGCTTAGTCCCTGATTCATACCAGACAGGAAGCTGTAATATAATTTTATGGAGCAAAACAAACATAAAAATAAAGACCAATTTCATTGGTCTAAGGTCTCAATCCTGCAAACCTGTATGCATGCGCTTAACATCAATTGTTTCCAATGGGAGTACACATGGTAATAACGTTAAACATCTGTTCACAGGACCAGGAGCTTCAGTATAACAGCTGATATTTTCACAGTAGCCTAAAGGTGTATGCTGACCAGCTTAAAAAGTGGTCCTTAAAATATGCTAGCTAACGTACTAACTAATATGTTTTGCCATTACAGGACATAGGCACCTCTCCCTAGACTTAGGTGCCTAAGTCCTGCTATCAGGGGACATTGCAATCCACTAAGTTCCTGTTTGGCTCCTGCCAAACACTGTTGGTGACTAAATTCACCCAATACCCACATGAATGCAGTAAAAGTTCCCCCGTTGCTTATGTTTCTGCCTCTGGATGTGTGCATGGCTGCCTGACTTGACAATCCCGGATGACTCCCTCTTTCCTAAACCCCAGAGCGATCCTTGGACAAGGCATTGCTCTGCCTAATGCGCTGTGGGGCCCAATGCAGTTAGTGAGCTCAAAGGCCACCTAACTCCACACCAAATGGGGGAGGAGGCGGGGAAGGAGAGCATGTCTGGTGATGACTGGCTGCTCATTCCAACCTCCTCCTGCCCATACCCTGACTGCCCCTCTACCCACCTTTATCCTCTTCTACTCCACCACCTTGTCTCCCTCGAATCCCCTCTTTTTAACATCCCCCATCCCTTTACTTTTAGCTAATCCCCTCCTGAAAAAAAAAAAGAGAAAGAAAGAAAAAGAAAGAAAAGGAAAATAAATTGTGGCAGTAATATACCATTTGCTGCCATCTCACTGTTGGTTGTAATAGCCTTTCCCGCACCATATGTCTCTCTGGACTAGTTAGATTGTCAGTTCTTTGGGGCTGGGACTGTCTGCTACTCTATGTTTGTGCAGTGCCAAGCTCAGTGAGGCCCCATTCTTGGCTGGCCATTGGGCATCACCACAATAAACATAAGTAATATTAAACATAATAAATGATAATGTCATTTCTGGTCTCCCTGGTGTTTGCTAATGGATTTGCTGGGGTCTCAGAGGACACATTGAATGAGCTTCTAAACATTTTTACAAAGGTTTTCTTTCTCCCAAAATTTACCTAGTCATTGAAGTTAAATAGGGGTGTTAAAAAAAAAGTTTTGAACATTCAAAATAAAAAGTCCCTTTCCCTTTCAAGAACTCAGTGTTTGCTTTCTCAGCTTTTGTGATGTAGTTATTTCACCAGTTCTCAATACATCACAGAGTGTCTTTCCTTGGCTGGAAGGTATTTTAATGTACAAGTATTAGTGGAAGAAGGGAAAAGAAGAATACAAGCTGTTTCAAGCTACTTTCCATCATGAAAAAACTGAAAAGGAAACAAGCATAGCTTTCTCCCTTTCCAGGTAACCTTTAACAGGCAGGCCTTTTTCTATGATACTGGCACTACAAAGAATCCCACATGTGACAAGGTCAGATTTGGAACATACGGAGCTACAGTTCTCAGCAGCATGAGGACAGTAAGAAAAAAACTTCTCTCTCTCCTTAAGGACACCCACTCCCTCCTATAGGGCATCCCTCTCCCCCTCATCACACAGCTATGGGATGAGGCATGGACTCTCTGGTGCTGCATGACAGAGAATACAGGATCCCAGTCAAAGAGAAGGAGTCTCTGCTGGGCACACCCTCCCCTGCCTTTGCTTCTCCTGGGGAGCTGCTGGTATTTGCTATCTCTACCCCAGTCCAGTGTCTGCCTTTGCTCCTCCTCCAGCAGAGGTTGGCCTCTCTCCCCGACTCAGGCAGGGTGCTCAGGGTGTTACTATGTTATGTGGTAGCTGCATATTGCATCACAGTAACCTCTGCAGACCTCCATACAGAAAAAGGTTCCATATAAGGAAACAATTGCACCTGCTACCTCTAAGAATTAGAGATGTGCAATGCAGTAAAATCCCCTTTTCCTCCTCCTTCTTCATTCTCCAAATATCAGTGTGTTTCCTCCCCATCCCTTCCAGAGACACTATCTCTCCTCTCCGTGCCTCAATACTCCACTCCATATTCTCCCACTATGAGAATGGTTAAATATCAGATTCTCTGTTTCTGCTCCCATTCCAGAATGGAGTTTTCTGATTTTAAAGTAGAAAATTCAGTTTTAGCTCTGAGGGAAGAAGATGAAAAATGAGAAATTAGACTGGTATGAAGCATAAAGACTTTTGGTTTTTCCAAAGATTTCAGTGGTTGTCATGCAGTTTGACTACACTATATGAATTTGCCTGAATTTTAATAGGAAATGTATTACTTATATCTTTATTCAGACCCTCCAAGTTCTGATATTTGTAGCACAAACCATGATATTTTTCATAGATTGTAATTTCACTTATCATTAACATTTGAATTTGCATTTGTAGGTTTTGGAACAGTATCTGGAAAACAAATGGATAAGAAGGTGGGCAAAATGTAAATGAAGTATGTTGTTTTACACTAATGTTTTACAGTTGATGATGGATTTGTTTAGTCTGGAGAAGAGAAGTCTGAGAGGGGACATGATAATAAATTTCAAGTACATAAAATGTTGTTACAAGGAGGGAGAAAATTTGTTCTCCTTAACCTCTGAGGATAGGACAGGCAGCAAGGGCAGTTTAGGTTGGACTTTAGGAAAAACTTCCTAACTTTTAGGGTGGTTAAACACTGGAGTAAGTTGTCCATGAGGGTTCTGGGATCTCCATCATTGGAGATTTGTAAGAGCAGGTTAAATAAACACCTTTCAGGGATGATCTGTACACTATTTAGTCCTCCCATGTGAGCAGAGGTCTGGACTAGATGACTTCTTGAGGTCCCTTCCAATCCTATAACTCTATGATTCTATGATTTATCCCTTTGCACATCATCTTTAACAGACAGTCCTTTTTTCCTCGGACACTACAATGACAAACTATCCCATATGTGAGAAGGTCAGATTTGGAACAGATGGAGAGATAGGTCTGAACAGTCTGAGGACAGGGAAAAAAAACTTCTCTCTATCTGTAAGGACACACTCTCCCCCTTCCAGGGCCTTCCTGTCCCCCTTGAGAGCATCCCTATCGCCCTCATCACTATGGGGTGAGACATAGACCCTGTGGTGTTGAATGGCAGAGAATATATCCTCCCAATCACAAAGAAAGGAACTCTGCTGGACACACTCTCTCCTGCCTCTGCTTTTCCAGGGCGAGCTGCTGTTCTGTGCCATCTGCACCTCAGTCCAGTGCCTGCCAATGTACCTCCTCCAGAGAAGTGTGTGCTTTCTCCTTTAATCAGGCAGCATGCAACCATATCATGTGGTTGCTGCATGTTGCATATAAGCTATCATCAGAACCTCAGCAGACCACTATATGGAAAAAGGGCCTGATAAAAAAAATTGCACCTGCCACCTCCATTAATTGGAGACATGCAATCCAGTTATATCTCCTTTGCCTCCTCCCCATCCTTCTTCTCTCATCCCCTCTTCATCGTCCTCCAAATAGCAGTTAATTTTCTTCCTATCACTTCCAGAGTCACTATCTCTGCTCTCCTTGCCTCAGTACTCCACCTCTCCAACACTCCAAACTCTCCCACTGTCAGAATTTTAAATATCAGATTCTCTGTTTCTGCTTCCATTCCAGAGTGGAATTTTCTGATTTTGAAAGGAAAAATCAGTTTGAGCTCTGAGGGGAGGGAATGAAAAATTAGGAACTAGACTGGTATGTCAGGCCCTGACTCCAATAATCTTGCCTAGTGGTTGGCTCGGTCACAACTGGGTCTAAGGTTGGGCCTGGACAAGGTTGGGCCTGGAATCATGATCTAGGGAAAGACGAGGGTCAAAACCGAGATCAGAGTCTGCAGCCAAATGAGGATCAGGATCATAGCCAGGTGGTCACGGCTCAGAGGGGTTCAGAAGATGGAGACAAGACTAGAGTAAGGTTAGTTAAGGGCAATGACCAGGCTCAGGCAAGTCTGTGGAAGGAGCAGGCAGAAGAGCAGGCGCAGGAGCAAGGTTTGGGAGTCGCTGTAGTCTGTTGCATTGCGAGGCAGCAGGAGGGTTCCTGGCTGGGTAGTGCTGTTGCTTAGACTCATCTGCAGATCTGCTGGCATTGTGGAAATAATTGAGCCTGGGGTCATCTGACCATGTGTCTGCTTTGTGATAGGTTGCTATCACATGCCTGAGGGGTGATTCACCACCGGCCCTGCTGAGTGCAGACTCAGGGCAACAGCTGAGTGCATAGGCACCAACTTCTGCTGGTGCCAGTTGGTGCTCAACCCCCCTCTGCCTCTGTCCCTGCCCAGACTCTACCCCTGCCCCGCCTCCTCCTGCCCCTGCTCCCCCCATTCCAACCCCCTATCCTGAAGTCCCTGCCCCAACTCCACCCCCTCCCTGTCCCTATTCCAACCTCTTCCCCAAATCCTCCCCCATCCCCGCCTCTTCCGCGCTGCCTCCCCTGAGCGCTATGCGTTCCCGCTCCTCCCCACTCCCTCCTGGAGCTTGTTACATTGCAAAACAGCTGTTTTGTGGTGGCAACGCTGGGAGGAGAAGTGGGGATGAGGTGCGCTCAGGGGAGGAGACAGAGTTGAGGTTGGGCAGGGAAATGGGGACGGGAGCTTGGCTGCTGGTGGGTGCAGAGCACCCATTAATTTTTCCCCATGGGTGCTCCAGCCCTGGAGCACCCACGGAGTCAGCGCCTATGGCTGAGTGAGTAGCCCTAGGTTAGCTGAGAGTTTGCCTCACAGCCAAGCCTGCTAGGTCAAGCTGGAGCAACCCAGGGACCTTGCTAGTGAGTGGATCCTTATATGGATGCTGGACTTACAGATGACCAGACTTCAATCAACTGGACCTGAGGGGGGTGTGAGGTAGCCCGCACACTTCCAAAGTTTCAGATAAAGCCCATGCGGGGTGGGCATTTGGTTTTCTCTTTTTTTTCTATAGGAAATCAGACCCAATGACAACTGATCTACTGGAAATAACATTTGCCTCTGAAGGGCAGAAAGAAAGAAAGCTGATGAGAGAAGTATGGAGGATTCTGTCTGTGATTGATCGGAGCTCGCTTCATTTTACATTGTAGGAAGGAGGTGAAGAGCAGTTGGGGCTGTTCCCCTTTTACGCATCTGGGATGGGAGGGGAGAGAAGCGTGAGTGACCCCAACATACACTGCCTTCCGGAACATTATGGTAGCTCCGGGCAGATTCCTACAATTGAGAATATGAAGAGGCTACTCGAAAAAGAATGACTGTCAAAGCCATGTCGTTGTATTTAGTAATCCAAACCCACTTGTCAGTATAGGAATGTGTGATCTCAGCAACAGAAACAATTTTAAGATAAAATTTTCACTCAGTTCCCAAATATATTGAAAATATATTATATAAATCAATATTTTTTAAGGTGCAAATTCTTACCACAATGCTCATGTTTATAACTGATGAACAGGTTGATAGTGGAGATGATGAAAGTCAGTCCAACTGGTATCAAAATTAGTATCTGCATCGAATCTATGGTAGAAGAATCATCCAAGAATTATTAGAAACTCCAGTTATTGTACTGAATTGATAGAAATATATTTCTATTTCAGATACAAAAATTGCTCAAGCAGCTCACATTAGTTTGATTTCTGTGATTTTCTTTGATGCAAAATAGAAAAATAACATGAAGAATCTCATTTCTGGTCTCCCTGGTGTTTGCTAATGGATTTGCTGGGGTCTCAGAGGATGCATTGAATGAACTTCTAAACCCTTTCACTAAGATTTCCTTTCTCCCAAAGTTTACCCAGTCATTGAAATTAAACAGTTGGTAAAATAAAAACAAAAAGTTTTGAACGTTCCAAATTAAAAGTCCCTTTCCCTTTCAACAACTCAGTGTTTGCTTTCTTAGCTTTTGTGATATAGTTATTTCACCAATTCTCCATACATCACAGAGTGTCCTGCCTTGGCTGGAAGAGTTTTTAATGAAAAAATAAGCAGAAGAAGGGAAAAGAAGAAAACAAACCATTTCCAACTCACTTTCTCCATCATGAAATAGCTAAAAATAGAACAAACGAAGCTTTAAGATAAATATAAAGAAATAACATAGGTATGTAGGGAGAAAATTAGAAAGGCCAAGGCACAAAATGAGATTAATCTAGCTAAATACATAAAGGGTAACAAGAAAATATTCTATAAATAAATTAGAATTGGCAGTCTGCTTTTGCAGCACCCGGGACACCTTCCATCTGTATGTCTCCACTGTCAAATAACCTAGATCTATCATTGCAGTGTGGTCTTATTGGTGATACGGATGTGCCAGCCATGGGCCTAAATAATTCTGCCATGGAGTTTAAGGCTGAAGAGTTGGAGGTCTTCCTTGGTTCAGCTGATCAAGGCTGAAATCTTTCTCCATACTAGGATACACAATGGCTCACTCTCAGATGTGCCGAGTAGGGATAGGTTATCTCCAGGAGTCTCACTGTCCATGTTGGGTGGTGGCTTTGGTCTAGCACTTTTGTTTTGCTTAGTTGCCAGGCTGTGGTCCATTTGGTATGGGGCTCCTACCAGTTCTCCCACAGGGAGTAAAAGGTTTCTATGTACTGTCTTTATTTGCCCTGCGCCACTTCTGGTTTAATCTTGTAGACCAGTAGGTCTCCCAGTTTTTCCACCACCAGGTAAAGTCTTGCTTTCCATCTGTTTGCTACCTTGTGTTTGCCAGCAACACCCAAATTTTCCAGCAGAACTCTGTCCCTCATCTGGAGCTACTGGGAACGCACCCTAGCATCATACCGATGTTTGCTGTGGTTTGAGTTTTTCCAAGCTGCAGACGTAGTTAAGCAATAAGCATCCCACAGTTTTTCTCTCAGTCAGGATACAAACTGCTGATTAGTCTCATAACTATCTCCATCCTCTGATACAACAAATCACAAGTATATGGGTAATCCTGGTTCTCGACCATATATCAAGAGATATGGGGTGACTCCATACATCCTTCTTCGTGGTGTTGTAGGCATGTGTGACAGTGTACCCCATAAGGCTTTATGGG